TCCACAAAATTGAAGAATTGCTTATCTAACTATCTATCTGTCTGTCAGTCCGTCTGTCTTTCTGTCTCTTTCTCTCTCTGTCTGTTGATCCATCCATCCATATGCATATCCAGCCATCCATCCCTCTCTATATATATATATTCATCCTATATCTATATCCAAAACGTAGGTCAGATCTGAACCTTTGTCTTCAGCATGAGCGCCATAACATGTAGGGATCACCTGCTGCATCACAGCTCTGACAATAAGCACACAATTAATAGAAATCCACACGGGTCTAACATAAGCGGGAATTTGACAAGTTTCTTCTCTTTGTTAACTTCAAAAAGGGCTTAACATTGCCTGAGGAGCTCTCTTGTTAGCCGTTATCATTGCCCTATATGATAGGTGGGCTGTTTGATCGCAGTGCACTAGCTCTCAGCACAATTAACGTTGCTGCATGAAGAGAAGTCGGGTCTCGGCGCTCCATACATCTCTCCAGCAGGGAGAGTTAATTGTGTTTAGAAAAACGGGCCTGGTTGCATGACTGCGACCTCTACTACTGTCTGTTCTCACCGGTTTGAGATCCCGCCCGGCTCGGAGACTTACAACTTTCTGACACCTTTTGTTTGTAACTCAATTAGAGTGTCTTTTAAAGTCTATCCATGCAGCTCACTCTACATGCTTTTTCTGAGAACTGTCCTCTGAAACATTCCTATTCCAATTTTCTTAGATGGACTGGGGGATTGAGTGTTGGGTCTTCGCAACACAAGAAAAACACCATTCGCAGCTCAGGTGTTTGTGTTAGTGTGAAACCAAAAAGTGTCAAATCTGTAATGTTGCAAGAGATAGGACAGGTAGCCCAAGCAGCGTCGGGCATCTCAAGCTAAGTGTTACCTGGTCCCCAAGCAAACTCTCACACACTCAACAAATCACACAGTACCTCCTCTTCAATCTCCCCGTGGAACACAAAACCCACAACCGGTCATCTCCCAATTCCCTCTTTTCCAGTTCTGAGCTTCCTCTTTGTCTCCTGTGCGTTTGAAGTCCTCTGAAGTGCTTTCACATGGGCCTAATCTCTTGTCTTCTTCTCCTCTCCTTCAGATGGTCACAAGAACAAAGAAAATATTTGTAGGCGGATTATCAGCTAACACAGTAGTTGAAGATGTGAAGCAGTATTTTGAACAGTTTGGCAAGGTAAGATCTCATTTTTCTTTTTCCCTTTGGCTAATTTCACAGAGATGTTTGCATATGATGAGAAACGCTGTCCCTCAACGGACACTTTCAAGACTTTCAAGCAGGCCATTTGAGATGTGGCCATTTAGAGATGAAAGACCAGTGTTTGCCTGGTCTCTGTCGTCCACTGGATGTAGTAGCAAAGACCTTATGCTTAAAGCTGCTGTGTGTAATCTTTTCCATGTTAAAATGCTTTTCTTGGGACAGCTAGCAAGCCACAAATAGGTTGACTTCCCTGAAAAGAGTGCATGTATGATGCTATTCTAATGCATAAGCTTTTGATTCATTTTGATTTAATTCCCGTTTTAATTAAATTTGATTTGATTCATTTGGGTTTATTTTAGTTATAATGCCCATTTTCCTAACATATTCTTCAATATAGAAATAACAAATTTTTCTACTAATTCTGTAATTTATACAGGATATTGTTTCAGATACAGGATAGTGTTTCAGACTGATTCAGATTTTTGTAAATTAAAAGAACCGACTCATAAGAGTCATTTGTTTCGGGAATCAAGCTACATTGTTCATGTTGCATGGTTTTGAGTCACTAAAAATAACTGAATCAAAAGAGTCATTTGTTATTATCATGTATGAACTGAGTACAGGCATAGATTAAAAGATTGATTTTGGGCTTTTATGAATCAGTATCAGGTTCATTCAGGTATCTGAAAATCAATATTTTTACCTGGTCCTACCCGATATGTTTTATAAGCCTGATATCTACCATACACATGCTGAAGACTGATAGTCAACACGTATATTTGTACGGCCCAGGTGAACTTTTCTGTTTGCTGTATGATATGACTTTGAGTAAGTTCGCTGTCTCTCTCTATTTCAGGCTCTGTATAAATACCTAGCTCCATTTGTTTGTAATCAGCTGTGTCTGAGTGGACCTAACACACACTTGACTTGATTGAAGGGCTCAATTATGCAGATGTTTTACTTGCCCTGTGCTGTACGTCTTGCCCTGGGGGTGTTTTCACCAGCGCCAGCGCTGGCAGTAGACAACCGCTAAATCATTGTGATTAAAGGAATGGTGGAGGATTTGTAGCTTCTTAGGTCACAAGACTATATTAGTCTTACCACAGCCTGGTTTATTGAGCCGTACTTGTCTGCCGTCCTTACGTAAAGCTGTAGATCGTTATTTTGAATGGGCAGCGTGATCCAATAACTCTAAAGACCTCAGCGCTCAGTGTCTCGTTGTTTATAAGTTGCGAAGCAAACGCGGTCTAATGAAATGTCTGTCTCTACTCTATCACACCTAGTGCCGCTGCATTCTTATATCTCTGCTCTCCTGCGAGACGTGCTCTTTCATATCCATAGATTTTCACGGTTGAATTTTTAAGGTCTTGCGATAGCAAAAGTTTCTCCGATATGTCATCACTTCGCCAGACGTTTTCCCATCCCTTCGCAAGGTCCACATTTTTCAGTTTTTTTCCTTAGAATATACTCGCACCTCATTACTTTTTTTTTCTCATTACTTTTTTTTCTATGTTAGATGACCCCCCCCCCTTAATGCCTGACAAAGATTGTTTTCAAATTTGCACGGATAATGAGAGACTGCAGATGGAGGTGTGAGAGTTGAAGCTGCAAATCCCTGAGCAGCGAGTGCAAAGTTGGGGGCTCGTTCCTCTCATTGGAACACCGGTTCAGGGTGAGCCGAAGATATTTGTACCTGACACCTCTTAGTCTATACCCGTTGAGGTTAGCTTGGTACCTCTCCCTCATGACTTGCACATTATTTCCACGAATACCTTAAAAACAGCACTGTGTTCGGAAAGCTGCCTTGTCAACAGCAGCAAAGAGAAACAAGGACAAGCTAGAGACGCTCATGAAGGACAAGTCCCATAATAAAGGGTTGTCTGGCAGGCTATCTGCTTTTTCTATCTAAGCGGAGGCTAATCAAATTGCACGTTTGGTAGCCTGTTGTCTGTTTTTAATGATTATTTCTTTTGAGCCTTCAGGGTCACGAAACCAAAAGAATCAAAACAGAATGTGCAACAGACATGCTTCCTGTCATCGTCTTGGTCATTATTGCATCTGAATTCAAATGGGTTAGCCGAGCTAGCAGCACAACATGTTTGCGAGGCATATCTGCTCGTTGAATCCCGAGAGAGGTGTGTGAGAGAGGGAGCACGGAAGGAGCAAAGACCTGCTGTTGTCTCTTGTCACCATGGAGAGAAATGGACAGAATAATTGCGTTGTTCCAGGGCCTGAGGAATCCCATCAGCCAGGAGCTGGTGCTGTCAGAGGACATAAAGATGCCACTAAAAACTTAACTCTCCACTGACACGTTGGGCGGCTTGGGCCTGCACAAAACGACGGGAAAAGACAGACAGATTAACCATGGTGAGGGTTTGGGAAACAGCCAGCTGAGATGAGGGCTGAGTGTGCCTGTTGCCAAGATTGTGTATGATGGATGTGAATGAAGTAGAAATAAATGCTCAGGGTTGCTTAATTCTTACGCCGTCTACTCCGCTCTGGGAAATACCGGGGGTTTGCTAGAATGCACAAATGAAGCTTATTTTCTCTCATTGTTAACAAGTGCACCTTTTTTGGCCATTTTTATAGAAAAAAGACAATAAGAGGGGACAGGAAATTAGTTCATCCTTGCTGGAAAAACAAGGTTATACTGGCATAAGGTAGTTTTGAAACATTTTAGCTGGTTTGTTGCTGATCTAAGGTAGTTTACCAGCTCTAACCAGCTTGACTAGCAGTGTTCCACAAAATTGAAGAATTGCTTATCTAACTATCTATCTGTCTGTCAGTCCGTCTGTCTTTCTGTCTCTTTCTCTCTCTGTCTGTTGATCCATCCATCCATATGCATATCCAGCCATCCATCCCTCTCTATATATATATATTCATCCTATATCTATATCCAAAACGTAGGTCAGATCTGAACCTTTGTCTTCAGCATGAGCGCCATAACATGTAGGGATCACCTGCTGCATCACAGCTCTGACAATAAGCACACAATTAATAGAAATCCACACGGGTCTAACATAAGCGGGAATTTGACAAGTTTCTTCTCTTTGTTAACTTCAAAAAGGGCTTAACATTGCCTGAGGAGCTCTCTTGTTAGCCGTTATCATTGCCCTATATGATAGGTGGGCTGTTTGATCGCAGTGCACTAGCTCTCAGCACAATTAACGTTGCTGCATGAAGAGAAGTCGGGTCTCGGCGCTCCATACATCTCTCCAGCAGGGAGAGTTAATTGTGTTTAGAAAAACGGGCCTGGTTGCATGACTGCGACCTCTACTACTGTCTGTTCTCACCGGTTTGAGATCCCGCCCGGCTCGGAGACTTACAACTTTCTGACACCTTTTGTTTGTAACTCAATTAGAGTGTCTTTTAAAGTCTATCCATGCAGCTCACTCTACATGCTTTTTCTGAGAACTGTCCTCTGAAACATTCCTATTCCAATTTTCTTAGATGGACTGGGGGATTGAGTGTTGGGTCTTCGCAACACAAGAAAAACACCATTCGCAGCTCAGGTGTTTGTGTTAGTGTGAAACCAAAAAGTGTCAAATCTGTAATGTTGCAAGAGATAGGACAGGTAGCCCAAGCAGCGTCGGGCATCTCAAGCTAAGTGTTACCTGGTCCCCAAGCAAACTCTCACACACTCAACAAATCACACAGTACCTCCTCTTCAATCTCCCCGTGGAACACAAAACCCACAACCGGTCATCTCCCAATTCCCTCTTTTCCAGTTCTGAGCTTCCTCTTTGTCTCCTGTGCGTTTGAAGTCCTCTGAAGTGCTTTCACATGGGCCTAATCTCTTGTCTTCTTCTCCTCTCCTTCAGATGGTCACAAGAACAAAGAAAATATTTGTAGGCGGATTATCAGCTAACACAGTAGTTGAAGATGTGAAGCAGTATTTTGAACAGTTTGGCAAGGTAAGATCTCATTTTTCTTTTTCCCTTTGGCTAATTTCACAGAGATGTTTGCATATGATGAGAAACGCTGTCCCTCAACGGACACTTTCAAGACTTTCAAGCAGGCCATTTGAGATGTGGCCATTTAGAGATGAAAGACCAGTGTTTGCCTGGTCTCTGTCGTCCACTGGATGTAGTAGCAAAGACCTTATGCTTAAAGCTGCTGTGTGTAATCTTTTCCATGTTAAAATGCTTTTCTTGGGACAGCTAGCAAGCCACAAATAGGTTGACTTCCCTGAAAAGAGTGCATGTATGATGCTATTCTAATGCATAAGCTTTTGATTCATTTTGATTTAATTCCCGTTTTAATTAAATTTGATTTGATTCATTTGGGTTTATTTTAGTTATAATGCCCATTTTCCTAACATATTCTTCAATATAGAAATAACAAATTTTTCTACTAATTCTGTAATTTATACAGGATAGTGTTTCAGATACAGGATAGTGTTTCAGACTGATTCAGATTTTTGTAAATTAAAAGAACCGACTCATAAGAGTCATTTGTTTCGGGAATCAAGCTACATTGTTCATGTTGCATGGTTTTGAGTCACTAAAAATAACTGAATCAAAAGAGTCATTTGTTATTATCATGTATGAACTGAGTACAGGCATAGATTAAAAGATTGATTTTGGGCTTTTATGAATCAGTATCAGGTTCATTCAGGTATCTGAAAATCAATATTTTTACCTGGTCCTACCCGATATGTTTTATAAGCCTGATATCTACCATACACATGCTGAAGACTGATAGTCAACACGTATATTTGTACGGCCCAGGTGAACTTTTCTGTTTGCTGTATGATATGACTTTGAGTAAGTTCGCTGTCTCTCTCTATTTCAGGCTCTGTATAAATACCTAGCTCCATTTGTTTGTAATCAGCTGTGTCTGAGTGGACCTAACACACACTTGACTTGATTGAAGGGCTCAATTATGCAGATGTTTTACTTGCCCTGTGCTGTACGTCTTGCCCTGGGGGTGTTTTCACCAGCGCCAGTGCTGGCAGTAGACAACCACTAAATCATTGTGATTAAAGGAACGGCAGAGGATTTGTAGCTTCTTAGGTCACAAGACTATATTAGTCTTACCACAGCCTGGTTTATTGAGGCGTACTTGTCTGCCGTCCTTACGCAAAGCTGAAGATCGTTATTTTGAATGGCCAGTGTGATCCAATAACGCTAAAGACCTCAGTGCTCAGTGTCTCGTTGTTTATAAGTTGCGAAGCAAACGCGGTCTAATGAAATGTCTGTCTCTTAAGACAAGAAAATTACAAATTGACCGTCCGTTGAATGCACACTTGTGAGTAAAGGCAAAACGAGCCTTCAGAGTGAGTTGTGAGTGAGTTGGATGCTCATTTGCTGCAAACTCTTGATGACTCTGCAAGTCCGCCCACCTGGAGGTTTTGCCACCGTGTGGTGTCAGTTGAGCTGATACCCGGAGGTTTGTGTGTGTGTGCGTGTGGGGGCATGTGTGTAGGCCAATTAACAGTGTCTCCTGGCGAGCGATACACACATCTATCTAGGAATATAATGTATGGGCAGAGTGACCGATATGATATTATTAAATAATACTATTTTTTCTACATGGCCCACATGGCATTCTTTACATCAGCAGGAAGCAGGAAAGAAATTTTGTTTCAGAAGCAGAGAAAATTTTCACATTTTGATTTAAAGTAGTTAGCATTGCGTACACAGATAAATTCTTAACAGTAAGACCAAGGAAATTTATTTAGGAAGTAAATAAGGTCAATTTTGGTTTCATGTTGTGTTTAAAAGTGAGAAATCCAACTGAAAATCATCTGGTTGATTTTGAAAATCAATGTTCATTCTTCACAAAGCATAATTTTCTCCACAGAGCGTCCTGCTCTCTATTTTTGACATAGAACAAATATTCTTTTTCTCTGTGGTTTTGACTCATGACTCACTGACCAGCCCACGTTGAACGCTGGACAAACTAAACCGTAATCACCAGTTTGGTGACAGACTGTGTATTGTCATTTTTCTGTAATGAAATGTCACAGTTTTCTCTTTCTCTCAGCTTCAGTATTCAGTGAGGACAGTGGGCTGCCTGTAATGACTGCATCCCGAGCACTCACTGTTAGTTAATTTAGCATACCTGGTGAACCGCTAACATTTAATAACGGCATTCGATTTACCTCAGGCTCGGGTAATAAAAACAGTGCACTGCTCTATTTGCAAGCCTCGCTGCATCACTGAGCCCTTAAAGTCTGATTTGATAAGCTTGTTTAACGAGAGGTGTTTGTGGATTCGGTGTGAAGAGTTTATTTCAGACGCATTTTCCTCATGTACATGGTGAGACTGTGGAAACATGACAGAGGTTCAGGAGTGAGAGTAATGGCGTCCGTCCAAAGTTGTCTTAAAAAACACATCATCTTCGTCTCAAGGTTAGTTCTTTTACACTCGGGGTGTTTTTCCTCGCTGTTGGCCTTTAGCACCATCATTTCAGGTTTTATGCCTGACGCTGTGTGAAGCTGCTTTAAGACAATCTCCATTGTTAAAAGCACTATATAAATGAATTGAATTGGATTGAAAGGTTAAAGTGATTGTGCATAAGCAAATAATAAAGATTAGCAAAAGCCTCTATGGACTGTATGAAAACAGGCATAAGATTTAACACCACACCATTGCTTATGTTATATGTAACAGTTGTTTTCAGTGAATTTCCACTTCCTTGATTTAGTTTGGAGTGTGCAGCTTCAGCTTTGTGAGCATTTCATGGTTTATTTTCTTTTAATGTCTTAGCAGGAACTTCATTGTCTGGGCAGAGATGTGTTATTTCTTATCAAAAGGCCCTTTGGACTGCTTTCCTCCGTAAGACTGGCCAGGGAAGTGTCCTCTATTCACTGTGAGGGTTAGCAGTAAATCCCTGCGGACTTCTATGGAGCCTGTAGTCCTTAAATGTTCTCCACACATCAGTGGCCTCGTACAAGTGGGAAGTCACTAACAAAAGGTAGAAATTCTTAAGGGCGGCTGAAATACTCAATCACAGGCTCCCCGCTCTCCAGTGCCCTCTGGAGTGAAGGGAGAAAACAAATGAGGAGCTAGTGAGGGATGAAAAGGGAAGGTGAGGAAAAGAAGCAGCTTTTGAACTGGTTGGGATTAGTTTTAAGATGATGCGCTCGCATCCTCCCTTTTCCCTCCCTCCTCTCATCCTTGCCCATCCGAGCCCACACCTGTATTTGTTTCACCACCAAGTCTTTAACAAGGTCTCAAAATGGCTTTCACAGCGCTTGTGTTAACCAGTGAAACCAAATCTTCTTGTGAAGATTGAAAACACAATTGATTTTGGGTAGGGCTGAGGTCGCCGGCCCAGACCTCGCTCTCTTTCTGCCTCTGTATGCTCTCACGCGCCTTGAGATTGATCTCTATCCTTCTTTCATTCCATTTTCTTTTCTCCATTGTTTTTCTTTGGCTGGACACACATCCAAAATGTTTTTTTGATCTTTTGAAAAAAAATCTAAATGTCACCTCACATTTTAAAACTCCTCTCCAAGGAAGTCAATAATGTTACAGTTTTATTTCATCAGAAAGCATGATTAGATAATTGTGTATTATTTTTATAATAGTATAATGTGTGTGTATAAAAATGATGTATTATGTATATGAATTAGTCACATGTAGCAGCGAACAATAACTTTTAACTAACATTTAAATCTGGTATTTAGAATAGTGAAGTTTAGATTAACTTTCATGAATTAATAAATTTATGATTGATTCCTTAATTTATTGTTAAGTTGCACTCCTTGTTCTTCATATTAACTTTTAGAGACATTATTTTCCAGCAGAATGATGTAATTACAACATCTGCCAGTAGGGGTGAACAGCCAGTTGCTAACGAGCCAAAATTTGACCCCCTAGTCTCCTCGTCCTCTTTCTCAACCTCCCCAACGTTTAAGGTGTTGTAATTGTGCATGAATACCGTGGTATGCTTTTGTACATTAAAAAAAAAAACAAAAAAAACTTAAATTCTTCTTTCGTGGCAGAATGCACTAGGGAACTGTTTTCTAACAGTTGGTGTGTAAATGATCTTTAAAACATTTTGCTGAAGGAAAAATAAAATGCAGGGTACCCAGAAGATTTCCCCTCAGTTGTCAGGGCGGCTCAGAAGCTTTCAACCCAGCGACTCGCTCACGGTTACAGGCTCTAAAGCACAGGCACCAAGATCTAGCTTAGCGGGACTGTTTGAAAGAAAAATGAGACCAATGATTTAACACTCTCCCTGACCTTTGTTTGCTCTAAGTATTGGCTGTGTTTCCAGGAGTCAAGGGGGGATGATTTTAAAACGCCCACAGGAGAATTGGAAGTTAAACTGCTTCTTGGCAATGATTTCCATTTTGATTCCACTCTTTTCCTTCTCCTCTCCTTAAGTCTGTAGTTCGGCAGTACATCTTGTTGTTCAGGACCTACCCAGAGTACATCATTTATAACCTTGCGGTGATGGATTGGCCTTAGTTTAGCTACCTTGTATGCACCAAAAGACCCCTGTGCTTTTACCTTATACCCATCAGTATGCTAGTTTTCATCTTTGATGGCATTATTTACCTGGGCGTCTTGAAATCATGTCGTCCAATTGAAAAAGCTTGACCACATTTGGCAAACTTAATCACTCTAATCACTCTCTCTTAATTGCTTTTTCCTCGTCAAAGTCCCTGTGCTCTAAGATGATTTAGAGGGTATGAAAGCTGGAATCAAGGTCTTGTAGATGTCGTCATAGCTGTGGCGACGCCATGTTGCGTCATACAGGCTGACATTATCTGTGACCCTTAAAACTAAAGTGTGTTTTATGGATTTAGATTATGTGTAGCAGATGGTTTTCTAAATTTTAAGTGCATATTTGAGCTATGTTGAAGCTCGTTGGGGATAACAAGTTTAAGCTATATTTAATTAGTGTTTGGGTTTTGATTAAGATGTGTTTAAGCTTAAGGTTTGCAAATAGCGTTACA